ATATATATATATCATTAGTGTTTTTACAAATTATAGAAAATTCAATGGAATATGATAGCTACCTCAATATATATTAGCTGAATAAACGTGAATGGCTAAATTAATGAATTAATTAAAGAAACTTTGTTGTTGTTGTTATGTACCATCGAGTCGGACCCAACTCACAGTGACCCCTCCTTGGATTGCCAAGGCAGTATCAGTATGGTAGTAGATTGCCCAACCTTCCTTCTGAGGAGTGGCTGGTGGATTTGAACCGCAGCCTTCTGGTTAGCAGTCAAGTGCCTTAGGCACTATGCTACCAGAGCTCCTAAAGAAACTTTAAGGCCATACTATTCAATAAATGTAAAATATCTTGGTGGCTGGTGAAGGGGTAGTGATATCATAAGGCTAAAATTATTAAAAGCAGCCAGATTAGCTAGTGCAATAGGTACCCAAGGTGATAAAGATACCCAAGGTATCACCCAAAAATTCTGTAGGAAAGCTAGATTATTTTAAAGAATTCCCATTGTCAAAAATGTAAATATCCAAGTAAGGAAACCAGAAAACTTTGCAGATTCTGAAGTATATATTTAACAAACAAAAAGGCTCATTTTTAAGAAATATAATCTTCTGACTTTTAACTTGGAAAACTGTATTACTTATTGAAAAACGGATGGCAATCTTTTCCAAAGCACAAAAAGTGCTCAACTGGTAAGCTTCAGGACATTTCACATCAATAGGCCATGATAACGATAGTGGTCTTCATCCTACAGACAACAGGTATTCAAGTGTGATTTGAAGTAGAAGATGACATGCTCATAATGATATTAAGAGGAAAAAAAAAAACAAAAAAACAGCTCTTGCTTCTCAGTGGAGTTGACTATCAGGCAACCTGCTTTATACCAAGTACTGTAGTATTAGGTTATGAGGAACCAGATGGTCATAGCCCCTGCTCTCAAGGAACATAAGGTCTAGTGAAGAAGAGAGACAGTAAACAATTAATCCCAATAATTATTATTTATTTAAAGAGCAAAGCTGATGCTTTGGTTTAGGACGGTCTTCTGGGCAGTATTTTTTGCTTTTTATTCCATACTGACTTTTAACATTCACAGGTACATATGAGTGATCCCTTTTATCTACTTGGATGGTGGCAGATAGGACACATCTCTTGACCCTTTGGTAACTGAGGGTATTCTGGCTTAAAAATAAGTACAGGAAGAATGGCCTCAGTAAAAGCACCAAGGACATGCTTTAGTCCCACTTCAACCATATACACCCAAAGTGATAGGCAGGTCTGTGAGCAGGAACCACCATGCTCCCCTGACTAGATATGAGCACTGAAGATAGAGAATCAGAGTTGTATAATTTACATAATCAAATAGTGAGTTTTGGTTGAGATCTGTCTGCATTTAATGGCCTGAATGACATACTATTATTTTATTAAATACTGTTTTGATTATCTAATGCTCCTCTAACAAAATACTGCAAGGAATGACTTTAATAAAAATGGGTTTTATTAACTTACAGTTTAGGAGGCTAGACGTCTGAATTCCAAGTGCCAGGTCTAGGTGCTAGGTGAAGGCCCTTTGACTTTGGGCTTCAGCTCTGCCTCTTGCTCCCAGCCCACTGGAGCTGGAGGCTTCTCTTAACTCAGACAGCTGCTGGCTGCTGAGCCTGACAAACCCAAGGTCAACAAGTAAAATGACACAGTCCCCAAATTATCAAGCAACATGGCAGGCCACTAATTAAGTCCAAAAACAGTCTCAAGATCGGCAGAACACATGGCAGGCCACTGATGACAGGACCAAATGCAGAATCTAGATGTGCCAAGAAACTTGAGACCTTTCTCAAAGCTGCTTCTTATATACTAGAAGCAGATCACATCCTTAAGGCAGCTACTCAGCCCCTCAAAGTAGGTTCCACCAGGGATTTGATTACCAGTCTCATCATGGGGAATAACTATGTTCACTGCCCAGCCACTCAAAACCTGTCCCAGCCAAGTTGCCACACAACCTTAACTACCACAAATGCTTTTAAATTTTCTTTATAACAAATGTTAAGCAATTTTGACTTGTATATAATAATCATATTATACAGCATTTGCATATTTACAATTTGTGGTACCACACTGGTAAAACAATTGGTGTATATTAGACAATTATTTAACTATGATGTTGTCTTGTTTTTCCTGTATTCTTTAGCCGGTATGGAACACCTGAAGAACTAAAAGAACTAGTTGACACAGCTCATTCAATGGGTATAATAGTCCTCTTAGATGTTGTACACAGCCATGCTTCAAAGAATTCAGAGGATGGACTGAACATGTTTGATGGGACAGATTCCTGCTATTTTCATTCTGGTCCTAGAGGGAATCACAATCTTTGGGATAGTAGATTGTTTATCTACTCCAGGTAGGTACATATATTATGGAAATGTTTTCTGTATTTAAAATTAATTTCAAGAAATTTTACTAAATTCACTGTACATGTACTCTTTTACTGGTATTTAATATTCTTAGTATTATGTTTTGTAATACTATAGGGAATAATTAACATAAAGATTTACTTATTTCTAGAACTCTGGTTTATTTTCTCAGTACTTTAGTACAATACATATTACATTTGATAGTACGTAATATATGACAGGACACCCCTAGTGTGCCGTGGTTAAGCATTCAGCTATTAACTGAGAGGTCAGTGGTTCAAATCCACCAGCTACTCTGTGGGAGAAAGATGTGGCAGTCTGCTTCAGTGAAAATTATAGTCTTGATTTATATAGGGCAGTACTACTCTAGGGTCCATATGAGTCAGAATCAACTTGATGACAGTGGGAATATGTGTCAGGTATATTTTAGATATATTAGTGTTTTAGATATATTAGCTACATATTTCATCTGCACAGAAACTCTAGTTTTACATGCTAAGTACTATTGCTATAGTCATTTACCAGATAAATGAACTAAGATTTAGTTTAATTTTTTTTTTTTCTCCCCTTTAAAATTTAACACATCTCTAACTTCTTTTACCACCTAAATAAATAGAAGGGTGTTTTTAGATGATCAAATCAAAATGCTGTATTATGTCAAATAATCTTAAGAATCCAAGATATTATCAACTCAAAAATATTACCATATGTAAAATACCTTGTCAAGCATATAAAATGTAGCAGAGTGCCAAGTGATGAATATCTACATTTTTATAATAAATACATTTGAAAAAATTTAATGAATTTTTCTTTTGGATGTTACTGCCTACATAAACATATATATACCTAAAAAATAAGTAAATAAATAAAAAATCAATGTAGAAGGCGTTAGCATACAGTTTTTAACCATTAAGAATTCCTAATTCTAAACACAAAATAGATGACTTTTATGTGGAGAAAATAGTTTTGCCTTAATCTTTCTATAATATCATAAATTATTTTATATTTCATAGCAATATAGGAATAACTCATGCAGATGAAGTAGCATAAAAAATGAGAAAGGACACAGATTAGGAAGCAGATGGCCTGGTTCCAGGCCCCATATCCCTTTGATTGCTACAAATTGATTAATTATTCTAGTTCTCAGATTTTCATTATAAGAGGAGCCAAAGTTTTGGGGCTTATCCAGTTCTCTCTGTGAAAGTATTTGCTATTTGTGTTACCTTTTTAAACACTGCTTTTATTATACTGTGGATGTGTAACAAGTAAAACAAAGAGAGCCTGTGTTAATGCTGTGAAATAACCCCACTAATTACATTATTGAGTAAGTCTTATAAAAGTATAATCTGGATAAGAAATGTAATTAATGGAGTTCCCTGGTTCAGATTTTGATGAAAAGAGTCCACTCTATTCTGTAGACCTCTGTTTCAAGAAAGAAATACTTCAGATAATTACAGTTTTATGTTATAAAGCCATTCTGTGAAACTAAGCATTAAAAAGAAATATAATAAATGGAGGGATTTTTATATTATAAAAGAAAAATTTATTTAAAAATATGTTTATTGTAGTATTTTTTTACCATACTATGAGATCTCAAATTATGTTGAAAGTTATCTACTTTTCTAAAGATAAAGTACCATACAGAGTGTTGTTCAAGGTCAAGGACATTCTCATTAACTCTATCTTTTGGTAAATGATGTACAGGATAAATTTAGATTATGATGATCATCATCACCTTTTTTGGTTCATGCTATATTATATAGGTCTATATATAGTACAGTTCTATAAATATATTTCTATTTAAAGTAATTTGTTATTGTTTACATTATTATTCTTTTGATCAATATCTAAATTTTCTAATTTTAGAGAATTAATA